CAGAAAGAAAACATATTAATAGAACACAAGCTTTAATAGTTAACTTTTTAAATATGTGACAGGGTAGACAGAACAGAAAAACAAAAGGTTTATATAGAGTTCTTCCTCACCCACTGTGTCTCTGCAGTCAGGTCCCTGTTTTCACTCAGTGTCTTTTTCAGCAGCAGCAAATGCAAAGTCTTCTCAGGTCCTTAGGGTTTTGTACCCATCCTCTGCGAAAGCTGCTCCTCTGCCCCTGACTGCAGGCTCGATTTCTGCCCAGGCACTGCAGGCACAAGCTCCACATGGTCCCACTGTGCCAGCCAGGCCCTCTGATCTTCAAAGTGTCACTCTTCTGAGCTTCTCTTTCAATGATCCAGAGGAGGAATGATCTCCTCTTCCAACAACATGACTCCAAGTGATCACATATTTGTAAAGTAATTTATAACAGACAACTCGCAAATACAGGGGGAAAAAAAGGACTGATACATACAACATTACAATAATCCAAAATTACTTAGCTTGGTAGTTTATAGTTTCATATAAGTTCTAAAAAACACTGCTTAGATCTCTTGGGTGGGCCAATGGTGTAAAAGAAAGGACTATATGCTTGCTAAAAAGATCTTTCTTCCAAACCAACATAAGCATAAAATCATAGCCATCATTTAAAAAGCAGTGCAAGTCAAGTAATCTCATCCTTATCAGTGGATAAAAAGCTTGATTTTAATACACACAGTGTTAAGATCCACCAGATAGTGATATTACCTGTGGAGAACATAGTATTAATTCCCCATCTGTCTGAGAAGATCAGAGAAAACTGGCAATAGTCTGTGTTACTGAATTCGCCTTGATGCTTCTGGTGCATATATGATTACTTTGAAGCTCTATTTGTGTTTGACCTACCTTTTAGAGGCAAAAACTTAAGTAGCTTTTAACCTAATGTAAAATACGGTATATAATCACAGTAGTGATGCACCTTTAAAAAGTCTGTTGTACAGACAGTCTCCTGTGAAGGATTTCTCAACCCATTAAGATGCTACTTGACATAACTATTTTATTATGAGAAACAGCTCTTTCTGGCTTCTGCTTTCTGTTCATTTCAAAGGAAGTGATACTAGTAAAGATCAATAGGACCTAGGAAAGAAATCTCATATGGTTTGTGTCTTCTTCCACACTCCTTTTTATATTTTCATAAACATTTCTTTTTCTCTAAATCCTATGGGCTTCAATTCCTAGCCTTTTCTACAGTCAGCATGGAAAAGTTTTCTGCAGTGAAAGAGCTAACATTGGTATTGTTCTCTAACGAACCAAATTAATTAGTAGTAGTGTCTGTGGAAGAACGATACTGCCCCTATTTATGAGCAGTTAATATTTGAAACACTGTCATGACTTGAAGCTCAGAGATTTTACACTGATCTGAGTCAAACAGTATGCACATTTCTTAGGTGTTTGACACCACTGGTGCATATGTTGTAGCTGATGCGAAATGATTGAAATATTATACATGGAAATACACTCAGTAGATAGGAGGGAGTTCTTCTTTCAGAAAAAAATCACAGCAAATATCAGGAAGGAATCCTACAGGGTCTAAATGATCTGAGAGGAGTCTAAGATAGTCTCAGAATCACAGAATAAAGTGCAGTATAGAAGAAAAAATAGTCTAAGCGCTATGACCTGTTAATGAGGACTGGGATAAGATGCAACTAACTGGAATTCTCATAAAGTAAAAGGACAGCACTTCCAGAGAGATACTTCAAAGAGTTTTTATTTCAAAACTCAGTAACATTTTATATGAAAAGCAGATACTATTAATGATACTGTCACATCCCTATAAACTATATCTGTCAGTAAGTATGTAAAAGGAAAACATTCAGCCAGCTATGAATGGCAGTTAATAAGCTAGCTGATGTTATTAACAGACAGAAAAAGACCTTCCCATACAAGAGGACAGATACTGAAAGTTTATTAATTTTCATATACTGGACACATTTTAGAAAGTCCCTTTTAGATAAGAGGGTGTTCTTAGTTCATGAGAAAACAAAATATTGCTTTTGTGATGAAACTAATAGCATATATTCTAGTTCTGAGATTAATTTTCTGTGATAGGAACAACTGTCCTGCCATGGTAGGTAGGCTCAGGGAGGGAGCTCAGGGGGACAGTGGGCAGGAAGCACTGGGACAAGGCAAGTAAAGGCAGGGACAGTGGCAGTGACTCTGAGCAGCTACATCCCAGAGCAAATCCACAGGACATCCATAGGGATGAGAATGGGACAAGGTCAATCTGGAGGGTGACTCAGTGGTTGAGGATCAGCAAGGTGCATGGCCAGGCACAGACATACCTACAGCATAGCTCAGGCAAGTGTCAGGACATGGACCTGAGATCACAGGCAGCTCCTGCAGAAGGTGGGGTGGCCCTGACTAGACTTCTCCCCACTCTTCCTCACACTGATCCAAGGCTATGCAGCTGCAGTACCTGCAGCATGACCTTGAACAAAGGCAACCAAATCTCTGGGATAGGAAGAGGGAAAATACTTGCAGAGCGTTCTGCTGCCCAAAACCAGACCAGTGTTTCATGTAGGCTGTTGAGTGACCAAATCCAAACAGTGAAATTGTCAAATCCATTTCAGTTGTTCTCAGCCTCTTGCTTATTGTTCACCTGTGTTTACTTGCCTGCAGCCATATTAGAGGAATATCTGTTTTAACAACCCTTTTACTGAAGATCTCCAGTGGGAATTGAGAATTTAGAAACTTGCCATGCTGTATTTACTTTTCAGAGGCTGTTGAGTTACCAAATTACAGACCAGACTGTGTGGGTTTTCTCAATCAACAGGTCAAAAAAAAAGTCATATTAAAATCAGAATTTATTAAAGGTAAAGATCAAGTAGTAATAAACAAAGGAAATAATTTGCATAACATACCCCATCTGGATACATTGAAAATTGTTTTGATGGTGCTTTGTTTTGCTTTGTTAGACAAAGGAAACCAAAATACCTCATATTTTCCAAACTCATTTGTTCCTTATTGGCCCCGTATGTCTTCATATCTTCTCTATATAAGATTTTTCTTCTTCTGTTTATCAGGTTCTTGCTTTTCAAGTGTCACCTGTTTAAGCATACCTTGCTTAAAATCAGCTCTTGAAATAAGATTCCTAGGAGTTAGAGCTCCCAGGATCCTCAATGTTTTAGCAGTCTACTGGACAGATTACTATCAATCTAATATTTAAAGCAAATCTGAATGATGATGAAAGAAGAATTTGCCATGCTTTTGACATAGAATAATTTAATTTTAAATTAGGATGAAAATAAATTCAAAAATGTCAGGTTCAACAACAAAACTGAGCTCTTACTTTCCAGTATGACTCCTCTGTTACAGGAGCGACCTGAAAGGCTTAATTCCTTTTGTTAATTATATGATTTCTCTTGTCTTTCCTTTATGATTTAAGATAGTGGTTTCACTACATCATTTAAATATTTTATACCCAACGTCTGCAGCAAAAGAGTAAACTGTCATATTCACGGCGCAATGTGCCTGCATCACTGCTCCCTGATACTGCAGGAAACCAAGATCAAGATCACGACATGCTGGCTTTCTGCATTTGAACAGACAGATCGATGAGCAGTACAGTGGCTTTCAAATGCAGACTTTAATTTTCTTTTCTCTGCTTTGAATTCAAATTATATTTCAGATAAACTGTGGGAAATAAATTGGTTCAGGCAAGATATTAAGATCAAAATTCTCTCCTTTTGAAATTACTTTGTCACTCACTTCAAACTTAAGCTCAAAGCATTAGGTTTCTGTCAAACTTCCCTTGTTTATCCTAAAGTAAGAATGTATATAAGCAGGCAGAAATAGGAGGCTGGCTTTCACTATCCGCAGTGTTACCCTTGCACAGTCAGGAGATCCTATGCAAAACACAAGGTTTCTAAACCTTTAAAGCTTCTTAACATTTTACCAGTTCAGTGTATTATCAAGTTAGCAATAGTTACACTTCTGTAGAAAGACGATATGCTTATAATACTGTTGAAAATTGAGGCTATTGCATAATTTTTTCTACTTCATTCCACTTCTATTTCTGCCACTATTGTAGATTGCTTTAAAATTCATAAAAACAATATGGCATAACAAACTGCACAGGTAGAGGCTTTATACATTTTTATCTTTAATGGCTAGCTTGAAAGTCTTCACTTTTGTCACTGAGAGGCAATTCTGAAAGAGAAATTGCAGCTTTTTACTTCTTAGTAGCTTAACAAAATTCAGAAAAATAAGATGCCAGTGGTATTTCTTAGTTTTTTATGAAAACAAGATTTATGAGATTAGGTGACTGTGTTGCTATATAAATGCAAGTGGTGTACTTCTGTGCACATCATTCTGTCAATTCCATTCCAATAATATCTGATTCTATTGTCCGCTCTCAAACAGCTTTACAGACAGTGAGCAATCTAAAATATGATAAATTCCCAGGAGTTCCATGAAAAATGTGAGCAGGTAGAGGAAAGAGACTTTTTTTAAACCTTCCCTAGGGGCAGAAAAAGTATAGTGCAGCTTCAACCATTATAAAATAACAGATAGCCTGGTAGAAAAGATAAATTAGGAATAATATAACCAAGGCGATATGTTTCATTTGCAGTGATACCAAAAGAACCATTTCTCAGTCTAATTTCTTCCCCTTCTATGAAATTGTAGGTGCAAATCTGACATTTTTGTGCAGTCAGGATATTAATAATGTCTCTTCCACCCTTTTGCCTTCTCCCACTCGTGGATTCTCTGTCTAGTAAGAATTGAACTCCAGCTACAGTCTTGGTACAGTCTGGTGTAAAAGGCCAGCAGCCATAAGAAAAATATCCATTGACAATTAAGTTTTATTACTGCTTTTGCACACAAAATCATTTCATGTTGTACTAATCACTAAAAGAATGTTGATCAGAGAATAACTGACCCAAAGAAAATAATACCCATAACTCCTTTTCTAAAAGATGTTTAATGAGTATAATCAGGAATTTTTGCTCATTCTTGTTTTTCAGATGAAGCAGATCGGTCACGATGGCTACAACCCCACCTCTGTAGCTGAATGGCTGGATTCCATTGAACTGGGTGACTATACCAAATCCTTTCTAATTAATGGCTATACATCGATGGACCTTGTGAAAAAAATCTGGGAGATTGAATTAATTAATGTAAGTTGATCAATTTATAGCAGTAGTTCCTCCTAAATACATTACGTAGTACTTGTCTTTATACATCAAGGAGAAAGCAGGAAAGCAATTTTCACTACAAATACTATCATCAGGTACTGTTAATGACTACAGCTGTTATGCCTGTACCTAGGTTGACTGTACCTTTACTTCCATTTACTTTGCCATTGTCTTTAGCATGGTATTCAATCAGCATGATTGTGTTTGCCTTCAGGCTGCTGAACGACATTAAAAATATGTTTTGGGAGTTTATGGCTACAAAGCATGAGTTTTAAAGTACTTCTTATAAAGATACTTACAGCTTACTTTTTATACATGCTCTGTCTAAAGTAAACATAAAACAAGGAAACCTTAAGTATAGTTATTAGGTAATGCTAAAAGAACACAGTATTTTCTTTAATTACCACTTTTGCTTGAAACTTTATTTACATGAGTCAATTACATTCGATGCCCAAATTGGGCAACCATAAACTTTAGTGTGGACTGCACTGCAGGGTAATTTGTAATGAGATGAAGTTTGTGCTGTTACAATGAAGACATTGACTGTACAGCTTTGCCAGTGGAATTTTCATGTAAGTTATGTGTCTGGAACTGAGTTGTTTTCTCTTATGAAAGATAGATGATTGTAGCTTTGGATCTGCTGTGACTTTTGAAATCAACTGTATTGTCAGTTTATCTGACCTTTAGCACAATCTCTACATGAAGAAAAGCCCAATATCATATTTTTATTGATTCTTCACAGACAAAAGGCTCTGCTCTTCCTTCCATTGTAGGAGATACTGCATCTTTGTTTCTGATTAGTGCCTGAGTCCCAAACAGTCAGAGGGCTACCACTAATCATAGGCAATCAAACATAGGATAAAACAGTTGGTATAGTTTTATACTATGGAACAGTTCCCACTGTGTCCCAGGCTGGAGAAATGAAGAACATAACTATGGTGCAAAACCATGTTTCAACACAGTAACTGGTGCATGAGGCAGAAGTAGGTATAGCCTGAGACCGGCATCTAAAGAAAAGAAGAGAAAGAAAAATATAAATGGAGTTATATCACTTGAAAGACAAAACCATTGCATGCTAGAATTTCTTTTCTTGCTGTTACAATACAGTCAATGTTAACTGGCACAAAAATGTAGAGTAAGGACCAAACTCTGCCTTATGTGTTATGTCTGTGGCATTCAGTGTATGTTGTAGTTGTATAATTAAAGTCAGGATATGATTGATGCTATTATAGGTGTCTGCTGCTAAGCTATTTATAACTGTGGCTTTTTTCTGTAAGTGGCTGGATTTTAATAAGAACTGGGGACCCTTTGCCTGAGAAGCTAAGTTAGATTAACAACTAGCACTGAGTTGGAAAAAAAAAGTGGAAGACTCTGCTTGTATTCTATAACTTAATTTTGCATCCCAAACATTTTGTCATAATCGATTTGGAAACAGATTACCCTTTAGCTCCCCCAAGTGGATCATTAAAACTTCATTAAAGGTTTTTGGTTTTATTCCAACCTTGCTTAAGCTGATGAAAAGGAGAGTACCTGCACTGAAGTTAACAGGAATACACTTCTGTAAAACTAGTATAAACCAGACCTCTATATATCCCTCTAATTTTAAAGCTTAACATTATGTTCTGATTGAAGGTCTGTGCTTCTTAGAAAAACACCCCCTCTTGCCATGAGTTGCAAATAGAAGCTGTTTAATAGTTGTATAAGTACTTGTATAGATACAGAAATCTATATAGAGAAATGTTTTTCCTACTTGATATGTTTGAATTATGTTGTTCGAAAGCGTAGTAAATCACAGAATATGCTGAGTTGGAAGGTACCCACAAGGATCACCAAGTCCAACCCTTAGCCCTGCACAGGACCATTCCCAAAAGTCACTCCTACAAGTTCTACATTCTATGCATTTCTATTTTAGTCCAACCAGTATATATTTGATTCCCCCCAATCAGTAGCTAAGCTAACTGTAAAGATATTATGTTCAGTGAGAAAAGCTATAGCTTAGAAAATTATTTACTGTTACTTTTCTCTTTCAATTGAGGGGAATCTTTCAGAAATGGACAAGAAATTGTTTTGAAGCATTGTGCAGTCTGACAGAACAAGATACTTAGCTCTGACCAGCAGGCCTGCTGTCTGAAATTGATTTCAAAGGTCTCACTTCCCATTCGGGTGATGGCAAAGAAAAGCTTATTACAGAAAGTGTTTCATAAAAGAACGCATAAAGGTCAAAGCCACTAAGTCTGGAACAGAACTCTTCACTTGAGTAGGTCAAAATTCAGGCATTTGAAAATAAGAATAAAACCAGACTCAGCATCCTGAAAAGAATTCAAAGTACCCTTGTTTTGGTGGCTCTTGGTGCTTAAGTTGTATGTGGAACAAGAAGTTAAATTTAAACTTATGTTCAAATATGCAATAAAAATATGTTAAGGGCTACGGAAGTGATAACTTCTTCATTTTAGCTATAATTTTGAACAGTTTCAGCCACTAAACTTGACAGAAAAGACATACCTGATTTGGTGCTAGGAATCTCTGTGTTTGTATTTGGTACTTCTTTCCATTTAGCCATTGGGAAATAATCCATGGGTCCCTGTAGTGAGGGGATATTATCTCTACCTTCAAATCTGTTTCTACCCCTCACTACAAAAAAAACATTGAGGCACTGGAGCATATCCAGAGAAGGGCAACGAAGCTGGTGAAGAGTCTGAAGCATAAGTCCTGTGAAGAGCAGCTGAGGGAGCTGGGGTTGTTTAGCTTGGAGAAAAGGAGGCATATTACTCTCTACATTTACCTTGAAGGAGGTTGTAGCCAGGTGGGGCTCAGTCTCTTCTCCCAGGTAACAAACATTAGAATGAAAGAAATAGCCTCAAGGTTCGAATTGGGTATTAGGAAAAAGTTCTTCACCAAAAGGGTTGTCAAGCATTGGAACAGGCTGCCCAGGGAAGTGGTTGAGTCACCATCCCTGGAGCTATTTCAAAAACATGTAGGTGTGGCACTTAGGGATATAGTTTAGTGGCACTGACAGCGTTAGGTTTATGGTTGAACTCAATGAACTTAAAAGTCTTTTCCAACTTAGATGATTCTATGATTAAAGTTATCCTTCATGAGTTACCCCTTACTCCCATAGGACATCGGCATGATCAGAACTTTGAATCTTCTTGTCTTCCTAAGAACAGTTCTTACTCTATTTCCAACACAGCTTTATTATTCTTGTAAGTTACCATCTAGGCAAGGACATTTACAAACACTGCAAAGAGAACACCAAGCATATAAGAGAGAGAGAAGGTCTGAGGCATTGGTGGTAAAGGCCGTCTTCCCTCAGCTTTTCTTGTCCTCTAGCTGGCTCACTGGCATTAAGAAACAAATTTAATATGCAACTTCCTGAAATTTATTGCAAATTATTCCAGCAAGGTAATGTCTGATCTGACATGCTAGTTTCTTTCAGACTTCTCTGTGTGTATATGTATATGTATATATATATATAGAGAGAGAGAGTGTTTCTTCAAACTCAGTCAAGCAGCAATTTCTAAAAGCATTTGAATCAGAAGAGTAATTTTAAAAGTGGTTTTTTTTTCATGTGAGCTCCCACCGGCATTCTCAGCCCTTTTTCAACAGGTCAGACTGTGGCGGTTTGAGACCCTCAAAAATCCAATTTCCAAGTCCAAGCCTCCCTCCTACAATTTATTTCAGTGTGAAAGGGTTTTCCAGACATAACACAACTCAGTATGGGGGAAAGGGAATTATACCACATAAATACTATAAATACTATAATACATTATATACACAATTCTAACTATCTCTCCTAAGGTAAAGCAACATATTTACATTAGGTCCCTCCTTTCCCTCCAATAAAAGTTCAGAAGGGAAGAAGGAAAGATCCTTTCCACTTCCAGGGCAGCAGTGTCTCTCCTCTTCAAGGCAGCAGTCGTAGCTGGAGTTGTTGTAGCTGGAAAATATCTTTCTCTCTCTCTCCATTACAACGCAAGGGTCTCTCTCTCACCCCTCTCAGCCCTTGAGCTCCAACCGAAGGTCTCGCCCATGGACTGCCTGCAGGGACAAACACTCGCTTCACCATGGTCATATCACAGAATGCAGGGCATCCCGTGAATCCTTGGGGGATTCAAGCTCCTCCTAAGTCAGAACGTTTAGGGCAGCTCTCAGTTCAGTCTTTGCCCCAAGCATTCTACCAGAGCTCCTTTGCTCCGTCTCAAACTGCCAGTATGGCAAAGGGGGAAAGGAAAGCATCTTCCTCCCCTGTGTTCCTCCTGGCCGTCCCGGTCCAGCTCCAGGACATCTCTGCATTTCAGGACTCCCTTCAAGTGGAAGTCCACCCCCTCCTCTTCCAAAAAAAGGGATCTCCAAAGGGTTTGGGGAAATAAAGCCAAGTCTCACCCCCAAACAGCCTCCACTGAGCTTGGTCCTCTCTCTTTCCATCGGACAGCTCTGCGTCTCTCAGCTTGGTTCCATGCCATCTCTGCTGCTTGTTATCTTCTTTGACTCTCAGCCACAGATCTCTGTTCACCACCGTCTCAGTGTCTCTGGCTGTCCACTCACAGCAAGGAAACCCCCCCAGCTTTTAGCCACAGTACTTGGCCCAGTTTAACACTGTTCCAAGTTCCTGCAGCCCCCAGCCAGAGCTGGGGGGCCTTGGCCCCCAGCAAGGCTCCTGGCCCCTCTCTCCTCGTGGCCTAAAACATGACTACTTCTCCTCCAACTACATCATCTTCTCCCTTCTTTTCTGGTCTGGTGTGATATGTTTTAATTTTGCAGGGGCACTGATTGGGTCAACACCAAGAACACCACCCCCCTGGAGTAAAACACTTTCCAACTCCAGGGGAAAACCCTTTTTAACCCAGGACACAGATCTTCAGACTTTGAAGTTTAGCTTTTGTTTCACTAATTAATTTTCTTGTAGATAATTTAGAATTTTTCCAGATCCATTTCCATCTGGGATGTGCTTTTTGGGAAGTATTGTTCTAGTTTTCTTACCC